GGTTAAAGGAAATTCCTCTCCAGCAAAGTCTTTCCAGAGATTTCACAGCTACAGACCTTTCTCTGGCTTGGAGAGCTGCCAGGCTGATATCTTCCAAACTCCATGCTGTAGCAGCAATTCCTTGGCTAGAAGTCAGGAACAGATCTTCACCCAAATGAATTGAACTCATTGCTTCCTGCAAACTCCCCTCCCCTTTTGCTCCTCTTTATTTCCTCTGAGAGGGGCCATTCACCGTCCACCTGTGCCTTTACTCCCGAGTCAATCCTTGTTCCTTAGCTCTTCTCTTCCCCTGGCAGCTCTGCGCATGTGCACACTGGGAACATGCTCCAGCTGTTCTTCTGCCCCATTGATCTCTGACTCTGAAGGCAGCTGATAACTGCCTTCCATGCAGAGCCTTCATCAGAGCCTTCCCCAGACTCCAGGACTGGCCCAGGTTCCTCCCCAACCTCCTCACTGTCTGAGTCGGCCACCAGCTCCGCTGGCCACTAGCAGGCCACAACACCACTTCCCTAAAATGTTCAGGGCAGTTGCTGAATTGTCTTTCCCAGACATAGGTAGTCCTTGACTTACAACAGGTTGTTTGTGACTGTTTAAAGTAACAACAGCATTGAACACATAGACTTATGACAGCAGTCCCTAAACTTTGTGGCTTGGAGGCCCGGCTGGGATGGGGCAGAAGGGAACTGGGCCGCATGAGCATTGAGCTGCCACCCATGTGCGCATGTGCACACTTCAATTTCTGCAAGCAGTGGGCTGGCGTGCACAAGCATGCACCTCCACTTGCACAGGTTGAGCTGCATGCGCATGGGTACACACTGGTTCGTTGCTCGCACAAGGTGTGTGTGTGTGCTGGCCCAATGCTCGTGCAGCCTGGTTCTGAATAGTCCGCAGCCTGGCAGTGGGCCACGGTCCTGGTGTTGGGGACCCCTGATTTATGACCATTTCCCACCCTTATGACCGTTGCAGCATACCCAGGGTCACGTGATTGGAAATTCAGTAATGCTTGGTGGCTGACTGGTATTTATGACGGTCACAGTGTCCCGCAGTCACGCAATCCCCTCTTGCGACTTTCCGATGAGCAAGGTCAATGGGGGAGCCCGATTCACTTAACAACCGTGTTATTAACTTAAACAGCTGCAGGGGTTTCACTTAACAACTGTCGCAAAACTCACTTAACAAGTGTCTCCCATGGCAGTGGAAATTTTGGCCTCGATTGTTGTGGTCGTAAGTTGAGGACCCCCATTATCTGATGCCCACTCTCTGAGCTCGTTTGCTTCCTGCCTCAGACAGGCCCTCCCCCCCCCTCACCTTCCCCGATAAGGAGACGTGATGGGAAAAATTCACGCGGAAGCCTCCGCTGTTTTCCTGCCTCCGAACGTTAGGATGGAAAGTCATGGGATTTGCTTCTTCCCCTCGGAGGTTTCCACCCACGCCCTTCTCAGTCGCCCCACCTCAGATTTTCCCTCGGGCAAACATCCAGGCAGGGGTTGGACTCGATGACTTACAAGGTCCCTTCCAATTCTGTTATTCTGTTATTTATCTCCCACCCACCCCCTTTTGGGCAAGGAACCCTTTTCCTCTTTTTGCAACCTTCTCCCGCTGGCCAAAGGCCCCGCGCCCCATCCCCAGCGCTCGGAGAGGCTCTTTTTCGGCCCCTCCGGCCATTTCCTGCTTCCTCCTCCTGCTGCGCAAAACGGCAACCTCTGGACAATGGGAGGAAGTCCTAGACTTTCCTGCCTTGGCTGGTTGCTGGAGAAACAACCCAGGAGATTTTGGGGGTGGTGTGTGTGTGTGTTTGTGTGTGAGCCCAGAGAAGGTTCTGGAAAACAGAAAGAAGGCTCTGTTAGTAAACAGGAAAGGAAGGCTGGGCAAGGGGTTTTTCTCCCTGCCTCCTGGTCCAGGGGAGGGTTGCCCATAGGTGGCTCTGGAGGGTGCAGTTTGGACAACTGCCGTTCCTCAAATGTCCACAGTGTGGATGAATTCCTTCCCCAAGGAAAAAAGCATCTTGGAAGCTGGAAGAGACACCTAACAACGATAGAGAAAAAAGGAAGAGAGGTGGAGGGGAGGGGAAGAGGAGGGGAGGAAGACAGAGGAGAGGAAGGGAGAGAAGGAGAGAGGAGCGGGAGAGGGAGAGGAAAAGAGAGGAAGAGGAGGGAAGGAAGATAGAGGAGAGGAAGATGAAAGGGAGAAGGAAAGAAGGAAAGAGGGCAGGAAAGGGAAGAGGAGGAGAGGAGGGAAAGAAGAAAGAGGTAAGGAGAGGAGGGTGGAAGGGAGAGAAAGAGAAGGAGAGAGGGTAGGAAGGGGAAGAGAGGAGGAGAGGAGAGGAAGAGGAGGGAAGGAAGATAGAGGAAGATGGAAGGGAGAATATAGCAATAGCAGTTAGACTTATATACCGCTTCATAGAGCTTTCAGGCCTCTCTAAGCGGTTTACAGAGTCAGCATATTGCCCCGAACAATCCAGGTCCTCATTTTACCCACCTCGGA